TGTGTACAAACCTGGTGGCCAACTACAAGAAACGTCTTGACCTCTGATTGTGTGAGAGTTCATGGGACACAGAAAATTACTTTGTACTCCTGTCATGTTTGGCAGGTGTTCTCGAATCAGGAGCACATTTGGGACGAATGAATATGAAATTCAATATAAAATAGCATTCAAATATGCCATAGTTTTATTAGTTCTAATTTCTATGAATTTGGCCAGCAGGTGACCAAGAAGCTGCTGAATTTCCTTTGGGAAGTTGAAGAGTGGAAGCATAGCTGGCATCAGTGGACAGTACAGCCTGCTTCACTTGTTCACTACTACCAGTCTAGAATGTAGCTGATATACCAGTGTGGAAAGCAGATTGACCTTTGGATCCTATATATATGAGCCCCCTTAAAATTTTCGTTAGGCATATATGCCAGTTTCAATTTCTGATAATCTTATGATACGGTCTGGTTGTTACTCAAGTATCAGAATCAGCATATTAAATAAAAACTTACATATAAAGAAGGCAAACGGTATTGTTTGCCTTTTTGGATCTCAGCAGGCAACTGGGATCTTACACAAAGCTCCTGGTCTTATCACTAAGAATCCATGGAAAGGGAGAAATAGAGTATCAATTTTGAGTGAATAGAAAAAAGACTAGTTGTTGGGCACTTGGGTTTTTTCAAAACACCCAAATGGCATTAACAAAAATAAACATACAACCTTTATTTTAAAGTGCATTAATTGAAATTTAATATTTTTATAATTATTTATATTTATAGTTTATTACAAATGAAAAGGTAACTTAACATTAAAATTTGACAATGGTAATAGAAAAGTTTAGAATTCCAATTTTTAGTTTCATTGTTTTTCTATTACTATTTACAGGTGTCACTCCTGAGATGCAAAATTTAGTACAACGACGGATTTATCCTTTTCTACTCATGGTAGTAGTTTTGATGGGCATCTTATCCTTTCAGGTCCGTCAATTCAAGCGCCTTTATGAGCATATTAAAAATGATAAGTAAGTATCCTAGTCAAGATTTATTAATGCCAGAATATAGTGACAATCTCCTAAATGTTTAAGAAGCTGGAATACTTGGGAGCTATGGACAGAATTTTTGACAGTCACAGTATCACTCACAGTATCAGCTCTTCCAGAAGCACCTAAAATTTTGGAATGATAGAATTCATGTTTATTGTGGTTTGACTAGATTAAGGTAGTAATGCTGCCTTCCTGTATCCCTTGAAAGCAATGGAAGTTCCTTTTTTTTAAAAAAAAAAACCTTCAGTGAAATTGTATCTTTTGTGAAGAAATGCTCCTTCAGTTAGTATTTCATTTCAGAACCAAATTTGAAATGAAGACTATTTTTTTAAAAAAATACCCTCTTTTAAATCCTAGATATCTTGTTGGGCAACGACTTGTGAATTATGAACGAAAAACTGGGAAACCAGGGACATCACCGTCACCTCCTCAGTCTTCACAAGAATAGAAATGGTCACATGGAATTACTTGATCTACCCTTGCCTTTGTGTTCTTTGTCATAGACTGGTCATTATTATTTGGGTATTTCCAAACTATTTTCTCAGCTGGGTTTTTATATTTTAATTTTGGTTTCTTTTCTCATGGCATTCAGATAGCAGTTAAGGCTATGTACTATCTGCAATTTCTGAACTTACCAGTACTGAGATCTGTAAATGTGTAAATAGCAATATCCCAATACCCTACAACCTTGGATTAAAATGAATGTTCATTGTACATCTTTAAAGAATATTAATTTATTAAATCTAGTTGTCACTTTATTTTGGATTGCTGTTCTGTTGACATATGTGCCACAAAACAATATTGCTATAGGCAAGATATATATTTCAAAAGAATCAATTCCATTTTTATAGCAATGGCTAGCTTATCAAGGATATGAAAATGAAATAACCATTACAGTCAGCAGTGAAATGGCTGTGATAAGAAAACATGAATTCCATTTGATTTTTAAAAGATATTTCTGTATAACATCAAAGCTGTTGTACATTTTTTATTGCCTGATATTTTTTTCATGTGATTTTATTTGTAATACTGTACAGTAGAATGGATCAGGACAAATTTTCTCCTTCAGACAATTTTAATCGTTTGATTGTGAGGCATTAATTTTTTGGAACTGGAAGACAGAATTTTAATGAAATTTTACGCACTTAAAATTCAATAGAAGAAAGTGGCAGACATATCTAAATTGGCTAATTGAGAGGTTTGTATAAGAATTTATTTCCATTGTGTAAGCCAATATTTCCTTTGTTATGAATTGAAATGTGCAAAGATTTATTTACATTGGAGTATAGGAGAAATGGCTATCTGACTTATTTACCAAATACAGAAAAAGTAAATGATAAAAAAATGCAACAACTTTTTCTGAATTGTTAGAACTTTATTACAACCAAAATTACAAAGTATACCATGGAGCTCATACTCTCTTATATTAAAAATGAACATCTGTAATTTTAGAAATGGTCAGCATTTTGCATGGCAATTAATTCTGAAGGATTTATGAATTTGTGTATGTGGGAGGGAATCTAAATACTATAGTATTAACAGCTAGAACAAGAAACTGAAACATTAAAGAATCAGTTGATTTTTACAATAATTGCACCAAACCTATCCCCCAAGTTATTTTTATATGTACAATTCTTTTTTGCAGGTAATAATAATATATTTTAATGTCGTTACTTCTGAAACACAAGATGAAATATGAAATGTTTCAATTTCTTTATGTGCTTGAAAATGCAATTTCCTATTCAAAAATGGCGAGGTTTTTTTTAGATTTATTGTATTCAGAAAATGCTATGCAGCTGTGTTACCACTCAGGACTGCATCCTGAATATAATGTAGTTAAATTATGTGATCAAATAGCTTGCTGTCTTCAGCATGTTTTTGTACTGGAAGAAAAGAGTTATTTGGATTCTATGATTTTTAGGATGGGGATGAAGATTTGGAGTCTAGATTTCCCAAAATTTATACTCATGCACAATGCTAAAGTACAGTAGAAATGAGGTTGTGTTCTTTCTCCACTACTGACATTTTGAGCATTACCTCAATTTTGGCATTTTGAGTAATACAAGGATTAATGCCTTTTTATTTTGATGCTGTTAGATTTTTTTGACATTGCTCTCATTAAAAAGCATAATAATGAGAAGGTAGCCAAAATCCCCCACTTGCTTTTAACTGTCTATACTTTAGACAGATCTTACTTATGAGTTTTTGTATCTATTTCTTTTGGAAATGCAAATATTACAATTTCAGTATTTTGTGCAAGAGCATAGTTTGCCCACAATTACAGCATTTTCTAGTGATAAACTTTCAGTTGCACAAAATTAGTTCTTGACATCTTTATTTTTTAAAAAAGAGAAAGCAATCGAAACAGTCTTTCCACTAGGATATTGCCAGCAATGCTGTGCTTCTTCCTGTAGCATTTTGCAGAAATGCGGTAACTTGTAATTTGTGTTTTTATCCCAGACAACCTGGTGGTCAATGATTATTAAAATTTGTTAAGAAAAAGTATTGGTCTTGTTTTCTGTTTGCTGCTATTTTAACAGTAATTATAAATATGGTTTCCCTTAGAACAACATTTCTTTTATAACTGATCATCTTCAAGTGTATTTGATAACTTAAAATAATGTACAAGAATGTTTAACATGTCAAAGTTTGCCCAAAAGATTAATTGTATACTGTATTCTATTTCAGTGATACAATCTGGCATTTGTATGTAGCATAGGGAGGCATTTTGTTCCTTCACTTCATTATTTTTTATTTTTTTTGTCTATATACTTTTGTGCCTTCTTTTAGGCCCCAAGATCCAGAAAATTGCTTTTACATACGAATTCTACCACAGTGCCAAATACTGAATTCTGCCTGCTGTGATTAAATTACAAAATATGTTTAAATCTGCCAGAGGAAAGTACACATTACTAGAAAGTCTGTATCTGACCAAAGTTGCTGGAAATTAGCAAATGTGCTTAACACTTTGTTTCATTTGTAATCAGTTTAATTTCTTAAAATATGTATTGTTCTAGTAGAATGTTAAGTTTCTGTAGCTACATATATGCATAACTATTTGGCCCGCAGTTTGACAAATGTGGCACAGCTCCCTTGCAGGTCTGGAAGTGGGTGTTTTAATACAGGCATGTCTCCCTTTCAGGCAGGCTTTGCGGTTTGTTAAGAGAGGACATATATAAAGGTGCATCTTTCTCCACATGGAGGGGTTTTTTTTCATTGAAGGGGGGAAAAATCTCCTGTACAATTGACTTTTATGAGCATTTCAGAGAATTAAACTAAGTGGCGTGCTTCCTAAATTCCAGTGGAATAATCTTTTTCGAATTGTGTTGCATTGCGGTCCTTTACTTAACCCAGTGTTTCTCAACCTTGACCATTTTAAGGCATGTGGACTTCAACTCCCAGAATTCCACAGCCAGCATTGCTGGCTGTGGAATTCTGGGAGTTGAAGTCCACATGCCTTAAAATGGTCAAGGTTGAGAAACACCGATTAACCAAAGAGAAAATCCAACATCTGGTATCCATCCATATGTTGGTGTACAATCTTTGGGTCTTTGGCATTAAATAATTTAAGCTTTTTAAAGTAATATTTAAAAGTGTGCTATCGCTCCTTTTGCAAATTGTACCGTTTATATTCCTTGACTTCTATTTAACACTCTCCTTTTTAAAATTAAAGATTAAGCAGCATTTAACAGCGCGGTTTAAAAGTTCATCCCAGAGCAAATCTTTACCAAGCTCCCCCTCAAACGATGAGAAGTTTCGAAGGGGGCGCTGTGCAACATTAAACGGCGCCTGCTCGAGGGCGCGACGTGTTCAGGGTACGCCTGCGTCATCAAGGATCGCGCGGCCTCACGTTACCGAGAGGGGTGTAAAAGTACGCGGGCGCAGGAAACTATAAAGAGTATTTCACAGCTGGCGCAAATTCCCGTGAGGGAGGCGGGAAAAGAGAATTTACCATAGAGATTCGGCGGAATAGGAGGACCCTTAAAAGATCGACGGCGGCTCTCAAGTTGTCATTCTCGATTCTTTCCGTCGTTGCTATGAAACAAGAGGCGCGCGTGCTGCCATGGAAACTTAACCGGCGCTTAGATCTTTCGAGAGCGAGGCGGCCGAGAAACGAAGCCTTGGCGTGGCGGCGCCTCCACCAGCTGTAGCTTTCCGCAGCTTCTTGCCGCTGAACAGCAACTTGCCGTTAGAGCAGAAGAGCCGCTTGAGCCAGAGGAAGGGGGACGAGGTTCCCGCTCCAAGCGCGGGGAAGGGGATTAGTGGGGGCTGCTCCTTTATTTGCGGTACGGTACATTTATGCTCCCCTTTCTGCAGAGAGCTTATTTGAACAACAACCCTACGAGATAGGTTGCAACTAGAGAGAGAGTAAGTTGAATACGTATGGATAACTGACCAAAGAAAAGTTACTTCCTGCCTGAGAGCGTTTTTAAACTCTAGACCAGTGTTGCTCAACCTTGACCATTTTAAGGCATGTGGACTTCAACTCCCAGAATTCCACAGCCAGCAATGCTGGCTGTGGAATTCTGGGAGTTGAAGTCCACATGCCTTAAAATGGTCAAGGTTGAGAAACACTGCTCTAGACTCCCTCAGTCCAGTCCAGGCGGAATATTTACTGCTAGTGCCATCACGCCATCAGCTGAAAACGCGTTTATTGAATACAAATATGAGAAGTAGAACTACACTTGCTACCCTCGCAATACAATGTATAGCACACTTTGTATGCATGTTGTATGGATTACAAGGCGGACTGTAAAATAATGTATTGAAAAGGACCTGAGCGGTAATGCAGCCAAGGCCAGGCGTCCTGCCTTAATCTTACTCACCAAACAAACAGAAGGCAGTCTTAAGGCTAGTAGTGTTTTAAATAGGTAAGCAGTACCAAAAAAGTAGAAGCCTAGTAGGTCTTTATGAATATAATCCAAAAGTATCTGGATGCATCGGTATTTAATAAAACTGAATTGCTTAAGGGAGTGGGATTTACAAATGTCTGCCTGTAAATATAGGCCATTCAACAAGAAGGAACCCTACATAAGTCCTTTTGTGTTTCTGTAATTGGCCCCCAAATCATTTTATCTGGCTACGCACAAACAATATCCCAGAACGTACATTTTCTATAAACCAGATTCTATAAATCATTTTTTTCCTCTAAACTAGATGTGTTTGATCAATAATTCTCAAAAGTGTGGTTGGGGGAACTCTGGGGATCCCTGAAAAATCCACATAAACCCAAGCTGGAGCTTCAATCATTTTTAAGAATGTCAAGGGTTCCTGAGACCAAAATGTTTGAGAACCACTATGTTAGACTATCAATCTCATCCCATGCACCTTGGGAAAAGTGTATTTCCTAGGCATATATTGTAGACCAAAGATGTGGAAAGCTGCTATGAACACTGATTATAGTTTTAGTATTTTATATATTGAAATACATTCTGCTAGTGTTATGTTCTGCACTTTTGCATTAAACTAACAGCAGCATATAACACATTGTAGACTAGTAGATACTTGGATTGTATATTAGAAGAGAAAAATCAGTAAAAGATTTGTAGCTTAGGGTTGAAATGAAGGGTCCTTTGGTGCTCTCTGAGCTTCATTGTTTTCTTGCAGATGTTTCATTACCCAAACTAGATAATATCAGTGCTAGTGCAAGAAACATCTGCAAGAAAACAACGGAGGTCAGAGAGTACAAAGGACCCCTCAGACGAGAAAAATGTAAATTTCTGGCTCTGGATATTCCTGGAAAATTGTATTGTTAAGAACAATATATTTCTTGCTAAATGCCCTGAGAATCATTTGATTAACATGCAGAACCTAAATCTATGTTCTTTCTAATATAAGGATTCTGATTTCATGAGATATGGATCTAAAACCTTATTTATCAGTCATAATTACAGTCATCATTCCAAGGTTTTATTTTCAGGGTACATTTTATAATGGTATGAAAAAACAAATGGGAGAGAGTTTGACTCATATGGACCAGAGATAAACATACAGATTTTTTGAGAACTGTACACAATACTGTAACTGCTGGTTGCTTCAGAAAAGATATCACAAAAATGATAAGAGAAAAAGACAGTGTAACTTAGCTGGTGCAGATATCTACTGATGTGTGGCAATGCATCTGACTAATGAAATATCTCAGATTGATGAATCCCCATATGGAATTCTGGATTATGTTGCATTTAGGGTTGGCTAATCACCAGAGGGTTTTAAGATTTAAGCAACTGAGAAGTGAGAGCTTATAGCCCTTAGCAGGAATAAGTTGTTATTAATGAAGTGAGGTGTACAAAACCTTATGCTTTTTAATATAATTTGTTACTCTGAACAAGTGCTATCAGAATCCTGATTTTTAACAAGAAGAGAGTAATCAGTGCTAGGTATGGGAGGATAGACTAAAGGAACTAGAACACATGCAAAATAATTTGTGGCAGAGCAACAAGTATATGTGGGAGTCCACTCTCAAATTATGAAGTAATATTCTAATTGACTAAAATATCACCAATTTATAGAGGATTGTACTTATTTTTCGCCTCCCGTCCCATAATTTGAAAGTTGGAAAGGCAGCTCTGGAAAATGACTAAAAGAGTGAGGGAACAATACCTTGATGCAAGCAAATGTCTGCTTTCATAATTTGGATGTAGCCTAATATAATTGTTAATTTTGTACTAGAAAATGAATTGGCATTGTTTTTGCTATGATTACTTGTTGGCTGCCAAATCTAGTATTAGAAGGACAAAAGACAAATAACTTTTTTTGAATTATGTTTGTATGCATAATTTTGCATAATTATGTTTGTATGCATATTTCAGTTATAAATAGATGCCACCTATGCTTGTATGTTTTCAATTACGGTAAGCTGTTATAATATGAAAAAAATTCCAGCTTGCTAATGCATAACAAAAGGTGGCGTATTCAGTAAATTTTATTAGCTTTATAAGCTTATTGGGGCACCTTGGGAAAAATCATTTCTTAGTCTACCCTAAGTTACGAGATGTTACTAAGTTCCTGTGAAGATAAAATAGGATAGTGTCATGTCTCTGTTGGAGCCTGAATTTGTGGAGGAAAATGAGCTGGAATGGGACCCTATGGAGGTCGAGGGAGAGGTGTCTGTGGTTTCAGAGGAATGTGGGGAAGAGCAGGCAGATGCAGGCCAGGGCCCTTCAGGATTGGGACAGGATGAACGGGAGAGACCCCTTCCTGATCCTAGAGCACGGAGAGTGGAGAGAAGGAGGGAACAATGCAGGCAGGCTTAACTACTCGGGAGGAGAGCGTCCCATCCCTCTCCACAAGGCACACCTGGAGACTGAGATTTAAGAAGACGCTATGGGGAGAGGCATTTGTCGGAAACAAATGCTGATTCCTTGGAGTTTTGTGTGTGCTGTTGTTGATCTCTTGTTCTGTGACCTCTGCTTGGAAACCCGGAAACTCTGACCATTGGACTGGCTGACAACGTTGCTTGGATGTTCAAAGATCTCAGACTGTATTTTGGCTTCCCTTTTGAAACTGCTCAGGCAAGCGTGTATTCACACAGACTCGTTAGGTTTATGATTTATGTGTCATTCCTTGTTATTTCCGTGGCCTTGACTAAATTCCTCTCCTAATCAGACTGTATGTGAAACTACTTGCAGCCAGAGGCGGCTGAAGATGTATGTGTCTTCCTTTGTTTGGAGGCTTGTCAGAAACGGAGCATTTGGGGAACATTTGGAGCAATTAAAGGGCGGTTTGAATTGCCAGCTTGACTGCATTGCCTCTGTGCTGTGCTCTGGGTCATCACAGATAGTCTTATATGTACTCTCTTGAATACTCCTTAAGAGAAAAGTGAGGTGTATGTGATAAAGAACTGATATTAACACATATTATGCCTTTATACATCTCAAGATTTTATTTTAGAAAACATTAATTAATGAATACTATTCTTTTTAATTTTCATAGGATTATTCTAGTTTGGGACCTTGAATAACCATGCCTGTCCCAGATGTTATGTTCTGTGCACAACAGATTCATGTTCCACCTGAACTGCCAGATATTATGAAACAATTTACCAAAGCAGCTATTAGGACCCAACCACGTGATGTTCTCCAGTGGTCTTATGGGTAAGTAGAAAACCAAAGTTAGTTAGGTATCTTAATTAAGAAACTTCACACAAATATTTAGAAGTATATCTGTACTCAGAGTAATTATTTCAGCATTCAAATATCACCACAGACATCTGATACCATTAGTCTGTTCACAGATAACCATTTAGGTTCCCACTAGTCTCCTGTGCCACCTGAATTTAAAATATGTTTAGATCTTCAAAATTATTTTTAAGGAGTCTGATATACTGAGGGTTCAAAAATGTCTTTAAGCCCAGAGAGGCCACATAGGTATTCTAGAAATGGTGTTAGCTGCATCATTTTAATTTATTTCGAAATCTATCCATTTAAACAGAAAGCTATTTGAAAGAGCAAGAGTTGATCAACCCCTGTCACACTCAAAGTCTAACTAAAGAGAGTAAAAGCAAATACACTTTTTCCCACTTATGGTTTGAGTGTAAGCTGTGGTATCGATTTTGAAAACTGTATACACTAGCATCATTTGTTTTTAACTTGAACTGCCTTTTGGTATTCGGTATGGCACTATTACAGGTACTTCTATGCTTTGTCAAGAGGAGAGCCTCTTCCTGTGAAAGAACGTGTTGAAATGCCAGTTGCCACACAAAAAAATGATACTGGTTTGACCCCTGGCCTCCTTAAAGTTTTGCACAAACAGGTAAAATAATTTTTGAAAAGCTGAATTCTACAATAACGCTATAGATTTTTAAATGATCTGAACTACCTAAAATGATTTCTTTCTTTGAACTAGCTGTTCTTTATTCCTGCAGAAGCACTTTCAAATTATAGACATATAACATTCCACATTGAGCAAGTAAAATAGATATAAAATAAGTCACAGAAATATAGCACGTTAAAAAGTATGTAAAATAAATAGGTTTAAAACTAAATAACATTCATCCAGTATCAGGTCACACAGTCTATTTGGCAACAGGCCACGGTCTATCTGGGCCACGGTTGTTCTTGACCAAGTGGCAGACAATCATGTCTGCCTGGTAGTGACTAGTTTTTGAACCAACTAATTAACAGTTACTTTCCAATTTTGTTTTCTTATATTTTCTTTATGATGCCTTTACAGTTGTCTCAAAAGAAGACTGTGGATTTAATAGAGCTCCATAAAAAGTGGAAGAATTTGTGCTTACCAATAGAACAACTACGTAATCTTCTTCGATTAGACAGCTTTGAAGATGGAATAGAATGGATGAAATTTTTTGCCCTGGGCTGTAGTGCTCTTGGTGGAGTACGTAAGAAATAAAAGCATAAAATTGTTGTTCTACTGAAATGAATAGTAGAGGTGTTTAAAGATAAAATTTTATTTTAAATTTTGGTTAAATGTATTAGGAAGAGAGATAACAGATTTTTTTTTTAAAGTTTGAGATTCAGAAGATAGGACACATGATATATATACAATATTAATAGGATCGAATTAGATTTGTTTGCATCATTTAAAACATAGAAAATCATAAGTGCATTATGGACACGAGTGCATGCAAATATATACACACATATATAGATAAGATTTTTTAAAAGTCTTAAATTTATTTAACCCTTTGTTTTGATAAATCTACTTTTTAAAAACTGAAAAATGTACTCATAGATTCAGAATTATTTCATCATTTAAATTTTCATTCTTCAGAGTGTCAGTTGCATTTAATGACTATTCTTTTTTGGTCACATTTATATTGTTTATCAAAATATAAACTACAAAGGGAAATAAAAAATAATAGAAAATGGGGGGAGAAGAAAGAAAGAAAAGAAAATATGGGTTAGAGAGGGGAAAAAGAAAGAAAAAGGCATTCCAACTCTCTTTAGCACAGTAGAAAATAATAACATTACAACCTCAACTTTTTATTTTTATTTTTACAAAATAGTATATACTAGCCATTTCTATAGCAACAAACCTATCTAATCAGCAAAAACAAAATCAAAGTTTCATTTTTTTTCCATTGCAAGCACAAAATCTGGAAGCATATATTATTCCCCACAGCAAGGAAAGCAGAGATGGTTAAACTGATTCCTTTATCCAAAGAAGAGAATATATTTAATTTTGTATCTATTTGGAAATTGCATTTAACAATTGTTTTAAAGTTATGATGGACCTACCTTGAGGCTACTTACAACCCAGGTTCAAAGTTACCACGGAAGCTTCTCCCAGGTCACAAGACTGGACTTTGGGAGCTCAGCAGCACAGCTTCATTTACACTCTTTGTAGCATCCTGCAGTCATCTCCTAGTTGGTGAAAACCTCCAGGATGGGAACTGCCATGTGAATCCATGCAGTGAAAATGCATCACTGCAAGAGTTCCTAGGACCTTTTCAGGAGGCCTTAGTGTATCCCGTTCTTTTAAAAAATCATCTTTAGACCTTATCTGCCTGGACAACTTCCATCCAGGCTGCCACCTTCACTTTTTAGAGAAGGTGATGGAAAAGATATTGGTTTTCATCTTTAAAGTCCTCGGTGGCATGGGTCCAGGTTATTTTATATGTTTTATTTATTAGATTGTGCCACCCACCCTGTCTAGTGGTAACTCTGGATGACTTACAAACATTAAAACTGGTAAAACCATTAACATTTTGTCCATCAGGTGAACAAATTCTTCTGTGCTGCTCCAAAGGAGGGACCAGGTGATCCTGAACAGGGCCACTGGGCAACACTCTGCAGATTCAATAACTGTTTTACTCTGTCATTTATGGTATTGTAAGCAGGCCAGAATCACTTGATAGTGAGATAGGTGGCAGACAAATTTAATAAATAAAATAAAAATAAATGAATACTATAGTGTTGAAACTGAATGATTCCTGTTCACTAGCATTTGACAGTATTTTCTATTAAATATTTTATGATTTCCATTTTGACTGAAAATAAGGTATTAAAAATGTTTTGTGTGATCTGTTTGCCATACCAATCATACAGTTATAGGCACATTATAGCCATTAAAACACAAAGCCATAGAACATATATTTGCAACAAATGGATAAAATTAATAAATGTACCCAGCAATACAATATAATAAAATATAATAGCCACCCCCAAGATCAAAATCCAAAAGTCTGATGGGAGAGAATCATTTTAAATTCCCTCCTAAGCGTCATGTTTTCTGTTGGTGAATTATGGGGAACCAACATCATGCAGAAGTAAGGAAAAATATGTAAATCCTCTATGGAGTGTTATATGTGCCATTTCCTGCTATAACCATGATGAGAAATTGCCAATATTTCTGGTTTCCTCACTAGACATATGTACAATCATCATGCATTAAAACCTCTGGATGATCTGCATATTTTTCACTAAGAATTGCATAATGTTTGAAGTGATATTTCTGGGTATTTTATATAGTCTTTCCCAATTCATTTTATTTTTTTTATGAATGCACCTGGGATGAAATAAACGCAGGTTTCATTTCACACATATTTATAAGGAACTGTGGTACCTTTTTGCATTTACTGTCCTGGTGGTGTTTTACTTTTGTTGTACATTTCTGTGGAAAGGGAGACTATATATCTATTTAAATAAATGTACAGTATTAGAATAACTAAAAGTGAATCTCAGCACCTGCCTTACATTCTAATATGTATTTGTTTGCTTGTTGTTTTGGCTTTTCTTAGACCCTGCTCAGTTCAATGAAGCATGCATGTGAAATTCTGACGAATGATCCAGAGGGTGGACCAGCCCGTATTCCATATGACACTTTTACATTTCTCTATTCTTATTTGGCTAGCTTAGATGATGAAATAACAGAGGAAGTATCCGAGTCTTTTCTCAAGTCTCTTAAAGAACAAGTGTAAGTATTAATGGGTGTATGAAACTTGTGCCCCCCAGCAAATTGAACAGCAGCTTTTTACCTCATCTTGCCTCACTCCAAATGCCCAGAACCTTTTGATCATGAGAAGAGATCTCAAAGTCTATATCAGTTTGGCAGAGTGTTCCACTAACCCTCCTTTCCTACATCTCTACAATTCTCTGAAGCAGTTTTGAGAAGTGTAATAAAGGAGATTCCAGTACAGTGCAGTGTTTTCTGCTGTACTGTAAGCTATATGCAATGTTTAAATATAATTTTCACTTTCCTTTTACAGCACAAATTAGGATCCATCTATAATATTATTATCTTTAACCAGGATTTACAAACCAAAGTCATACTATAATTTTAAAACTTTGTGTTTATATACAGATGTAAAACTTCCATGGTTGAAGCTGAAAAATAAAACTAGGGAGAATAATGTGACAATCAATAGAAGAGAATTATTAGCTTGATGTACGTCAGGCCTGCCCAATTTGTTGAGAGGAAAATGTGACATTGATAAATGAAAAATCCTCATGGGCCACAAAGAAATGCTTGGAGTGCCAGTCAGCTGTTCTGTGGCTACTAAAACTGGAGTCGTGGAAACTGGCAACAAAGCTTGGATGTTCTGAGAAGCATCTTTTTGAGATGGTGGCAGTGGCTGTAAATTTACTTTGTTGGAAAACCTTGGCAGGCTGCATGTTGCGCTGGCCTGTTCAAAGTCTTTAACTAACAATCAATTTTCATTATGGTCACAGACCAGCATTGCAAAGAAAAGCTTTAAAAATAATAAACAAAAATTAAAAAAACAAACAAAATAACATCACAATTAGTGATGGATTATCAGTGGGCAGTTAGTCTGCCTAATTTTGCATACAGTATAACAAAATGTGGCCACATTCAGAGAAACTACTTCATAGTGATGTAATAATGTCTTTAGTACAAAAGTACATTGTTTTATAAGTTCTAATTCTTATATAATATTTATTCTACATGTATCGATTAGAGGAAGGGCTGGCAAAACTGCTTTGCATGTACATTTGTAAATACTGGATGTTGTCAATAGTTTAGCTTTATTTAAATACAGACAGGATCTTTTACTAGTTCTTTTGTCTTTGTTTTCCTGCCTCATTTGGTCACCTAGATGTTATAGAATGGAAATCAAGTTAAGCTACATATTGGAGGTCTTATCTTGTATGATAGAAAAGGTTTTTTTTTAGCAAAAATGTAGAATTTTTCCTTCATGTATAAATTGCATACCTGAGGGGTGAGATGGATTTGATGCATAATATTGGTTCCTTCAATAATACTAATGACAAATAATTATTTTCTCATTTAGGGCACGTAAGGATTATATGGTTGGCACTGCAGATTTCTCCACTGTAAAATTGATGCCTTAGAACAGGAATATAGCAAAACGTCATTTCAAATATGTAATAAAATTAGAGTTTTCATTAATGTAATGTCTAACGTGCTTTTCAGTTTGTGAACTACCAATAAAATGTGTACCACCTGATTGCCTGAACTCCGATCATGGTTTTATGAATATTGACTGTTGCTTGAACAAGCAGTATTTAGAGTAGAAAATCTAATTGAGTTGTGACTTCTATTTCCAGTGTTTGAGTCAACCTGGCTATGCCATCCATTCAGTGAGAGAGAACATTGTATAAATGACGTAGTATCAAGTGTGCAATTCTCCCAGGGCTTCTTCCAGACGTTGATTTTAATAAGTATCTTCTAGATTTCTCCTTCTGTGCTTGAGATCCTTATAATTTCTGGGCAACAATCATATAAATGCAAAATGATGGTCTACAGCTGCCCATTATTTTTATTTCCTAATGTCTGGATATACATATGGTGTCAATTCACTATCTGCAAGTAACAGTGAACATCATATGTTTATTGGCACTGTCAAAATAATTCAGTTTATTAAGATCTGTAGTTGTGATTAGTAAACTGAAACAAGAACAAAAAGGAAATTTGCCTTATTATTTCATGATCACTTCAATAGTAACTAATTCTTGAAACACTGCATTCTGGGCATATTTTGTCTGGCTCTTCAAATGGGGGTGAATCCAATCAGAGTAACGAGGATAATCAGGTAACTGAATAAGAAAAGCTAACGTGGTGATGAAATTATGCTAAGATTGGAAAGTCCCTCAGCTATGGAAACTGCTTGGGTAATTCTGATCTCTGTCAGTACAGCCTGTCTCGCAGGATAAATAGAGCCAGTTTGGTCTAGTGGTTAGAGCACCAGGCTAGAAAGTGGGAGGTTATGAGTTCAAATACCATCATAGTCACTAAAGCCAGCTGGGTTACTTCAGTCCAACGCATCTCACGGGTGTAGTGATAATAATAGGAAGATGAGGATGTCTTGAATATGTTTGCCAACTTGATATTTATAGTGAAAATTATTTTTACTACAATAAATTTTTATTTTTACAATAAAAGATATTTATTGTAAACATAAAGGCAGAATATTTTCAATGAATATTACTAAAGTGAATGTTTCTTAAGAATAGCTTAATATTGGAATCAACAACAATTGATTTAAAGGGTAGTAACTGTCTATATGAATAATTAAACGTATTTTTATTTATTAAATTTTTATGTCATCCATTTCACTATCCAAAGTGACTCTAGGTGGCATATATCCACCTAGAGTTTATGAGTGGGATAGAGATTTCAAATGGTGTTTATTACAGTAGCTAACATCTTAGCTGTCAGTGAGATATGTTAGTGGAATTAAACAGATACAAGTTGGTTTGGCTCCACATCTCTTATAATGGAAATGCAAGTATTATTTCCTTCTTTTATGATGCTTTCCTTCATCTCTGAAATAAAATGAAAGCCAGTATTATATTAGAGCTTATCCCTCTATTGTTTTTTTTAAATCATATTTTCATGAAACTAGGGTTTATCCTTATAATGCTTATGCATACTGAAATGAAATTGAAATACATACTACTGCATTTGCTGATATTTATCATTTGATACCTTTTTCATCAGCTACTTAGAATATAAAAATCTGAGGGAATATTGCAACTATTTCCTCCTTAATCTTAAATTTACCTGGACTGCACAAAATGAATCAATTTTAGAGAGAGATCACAGAAATGTGAAATATAAAGGCTAGTTAATTTACAGTATTTCTTCCCTCTCCTGTTTTCAGTGTCTCCCTTCTCCTGAGACTGTTCTTTGCTCCAATGGAGGGAAATATGTTATTTTTCACCAATATGCAAAAAAGGAGATAGACAAAAAACCTCTATCCTTTCTCTTGCGCTCAAAACACACATGGTGAATATGGTCTTACAGTTACTTAAACATAGTTTACTAAACGAACTGTCCAGATTCAAAATATGTTAACCCATAAAGCATGATTTATAATACAAGTAGTCCTCACTTAACAACCACAATTAGGAACGGAGTCTTGGTTGTTGAGTGAAGTGGTTGTTAAGCAAAACGGCCCATGTGACTGCTTCACTTTGACCATGATCCAGCAGTCTTCATTGTGGTCATTAAATGATCTCATGGGTTATTAAGTGAACAGAGACTCTATGCCTGTGGAGGGATTTAGGGCTTTGTCCATGCTTGAATTTCAGCTGCCAAGGTACAAGCAGGAATGGAGTTGAACATCCTTCTCTTTCCACCTTTGCAGAGCTCTTTGCAGGGGTGAGAAAGAGGGATTATGATTGAATCCATGCATGATTGAATTTTGGTTCCTGAAATCCAAGCAAGCACAAAATGGCAGGGACCTCTTTCATCCATCCCCCAAAGATGACGGAATCCTCTTGGTAGGCTTCAGCAGCTCACAAACTTCCCTGCCAGCTTCCCCATTGATTTTCTGGGGAGGCCAGCAGGAAATATTGCAAGTGGCAATCACATGATCATGGGGCATTTAATAGTCATAAGTGTAAACACATTGCCAAGCACCCAGATCATGGTTATGTAACTGTAGGTGTGGGCGACATTTTGCAATAGTTGGTACAATCTTTTACAAGCTGTAAAGCACCTTTTCCAAGGCCTTCGTAATTTTAAACTATTGTTAAGTAACCAGCTATTAAGTAAGGACTGAGGTAAGCAACAATTAAGGGAGATCACATTTTGGTTTAGTTTGATTGTGTGAACACAACCTATATAATACTGCTTCTATAAGAGCAAATGACGATTATTTTAAATATGATAATGTGTAAGTAATATCTTACTCTGTGCACTATGTATATTAATCAACATTATTAAGAAAGCTACTTGATTCAATTATCAGAAATTTATCCCCAAAGTGTCACAGTATCAGAACATAGCCGATCTTCATATTCATAGAACTGTTGTTTATATATTGCACACTTCATTATTTTTTTTAAATAGTAATGTATCTAAGTAGATTAAATTACCCAGGCCACAGAACAGATTTGAGCAGACTAGTTAAAGAACTCATTTTTAAAAACTTCCTGCCATTTAAGACTTAACCCTACCCTGAATAAAACAAGTTCCTATTAAAAGCTGCATTTATTCAGCTTGGTTTTATGGGGAAAAACAGTTATTTTGTTTATAAATCCTGAAGGAAATACTTCTATAAAAACACAATTACTTTTGAGTAATATTTTCATCTTTCTGTCAAAACAGAACGCAATGCTAAGTCTTCAGTTTGATTTACTCCACTTCATAATCCATGTATTCCCAACAGCCGTTTTTTATATAAAAAATTCACTATGTTATATGCCAATTGAAGTAAGAAGACAGGAATAAATTCATGTAATAGTCAACTTAGGAAACCAATGGCCAGTTTTGAATTTTTTTTATTTTTAATTATGTTATGTCAGGATTTTTTAAGTACTTTCTTTGAAATAGGAGAAATTATGATATATAGAATTCCGTATTGTTATTTCTTTTACATTATGCTGGTTATTATGAAATCAACTTTTGTTTTAAAAAAAGTATATGGTTGAGTGTATTGATTCTGGTATCATTACTAATTTGATACATCTTTTGATTTAATATCTTGGGCAAGCATAGAAAGACTTAAAGCCAATAGCTGGATGAAAATTACTGTGAAATTTTCTCCTACAAATTAACGCTGAATGTAAACAAGTTTTAAGCATGTTCTACAATCCCAGCCTGTGATGTATCATCACTCTAGTTCACAGGTCGGCAACCTGGGGCTCCGGAGCCGCATGCGGCTCTCTCTCTCTCTCTCTCTCTCTCTCTCTCTCTCTCTCTCTGTGTGTGTGTGTGTGTGTGTGTGTGTGTGTAAAAAAAAAGAGTGGCCTCACCCTGTTCAATGAGCCCACAAGCTTACTGGGTGGGGCTCCTGCCTTGGCTGCGTCTCTGCAGGAAACAGGAAGGGCAGGAGAGAGCTAGCTAGCCCAGCTATGCTGGTTCAGGAATTCTGGGAGTTGAAGTCCATGAGTCATAAAAGAGCCGAGGTTGCCTACCCCTGAGCTTGTTGGAGAACAGCTTGAAGCCAGCTTGCCAGGTGAGCAGAAGATCGGAGAGAGGGGGGGGGAGAGAAAGAGAGAAAAGGAGAGAGGGAGGGAGAGAGAGGAAAGAGAGAGAGAGAGAGAAAGAAAGAGTGTGGGGAAAGAGGACTGGCAGACCAAGGCCAGAGAGAGGGAGAGGGAGGGAGGGAGGGACCCTTTTGACATCTAAAATGAAGATAACACTGCATATATCCTTTTTTACCTTTATGATAGTGTTATCTTCATTTTAGATATCAAAAGGATTTTGCGGCTCCCAGTGTTTTGTTTTCGGTGGGAAATGGGTCCAAGTGACTCTTTGAGTGTTTTGGGTTGCCTACCCCTGCTCTAGTTCAACAAAAGTCAGAAACTAAAGACACTACTCACCTATCTCTTTTCCTTCTGGAATCTCTCTCTCTTACTCTTTCTCGACTTCTTTTCCGTCTGCCTGGACTTCTGCTGGAATTCCTCCTATGTCGAGAATAATCAATATCTTTTGAACTTCCACAAGACTGTGTTGAATCGGCTGATGCAGATCTTCGTTCTTCTTTACTAAAGAAAATACAGTAATTATGCCATAGCAGTGGTATTCGTCATTAATGTTGGGAGTGGGAATGAATGCTTATTTCTCCCAGTGAAGAATGCCATTGATGTCAAAACAATTAGTTGCACAGAAATCATGTAAGAGAAGACTGAGCTTTAAAACACAGCCCAGCTGAAATTATTGCATCACCATTGTTGTCAGATCTCAGCTGCACCAGAATTAAGGGGAAATAGAGGGAAATATCCACTACTGTGCTCTATAGTTTCATTTGAATGTTGTATTTCCATTTAAAGATGCCAGTGCTTAGGAAGGTAGAGAGTGAACTAAGTTGTGTTTCTAATAAAATGTGAGTTATGAACGATCTTTCTGTAAAATACTGCAAGGAGGAAGCCATTATTTTTTAATATGATATTTGACCCTGCTTTTTGAATGCCATTGTGCTTTGCAAAGACAACCTGCTTCTGCCACTTGCCATGACACAATATTTAAACAAAGCTCTGCTTCTCACAAATGCATTCC